CCCCCCCCCCCCCCCCCCCCCCCCCCCCCCCCCCGGTGGCCATGGCTGGCCCGGCGACCAGGCTCTCCGCCAGGGCGGCCCAGGGAGCGCGGGCTGCGCTCGGCGGCACCCCCACCCCCGCACCGCCCATCGGGCGGTGCATGCCTTGCAACAGATCGCGCGACACTCGTCCCGGCACCCGATCCGCCGGGTGCTTGCCCGCCTGCTCGGCCAGCCCGCCGGGTCACGCCAGCCGTTCCTTCGTCCATAGCACTGTCAGGTATCCCGGCCTGGCGACACACGATCTCATTGGCACGCCCTGACGCGGCCATAGCACCGACGGGCCTGTGCCATCCCGTCAGCGGGGACCCCGGCGAGCTTGTCACCGCGTCCCGATGAAACACCCACCGCCTCGCCACATGGCCCACACCTCCGGCCGGGGGAGCCGTTCAAGGTGCGCTTCATCCACCCGAATCGAGCGCCCACGGCCAACGGCACCTGCGTACCTGGCTGGCCCACGGCCCCGGCAGCACCTCTCGCTGCGTGAGAGGCAGACCGGCCGGCCGGCAGCCAACCCCCAGGCGCCCGCCCGTGACACCACAGCAACACCCTCGCGAGTCGAGCACGCAATAACACGGCACCCGCATGCAGGTACCCTCGCGCACCACTTCCGCTCCACCGTGGCCGGGAAACCGGCAATCGAGCGATGCCCACCGACACACGCGCGCACATGTGCCCATGTCTTCAGAGCCGTCGGGGGTCTCGAGCCCCTCGCCCGGGCCCCACATCCGCGACATCTGCCGGTTGCTCGGCGGCCGGCCCCCGCCACGCAAGATCCCTTGCATGGCCAAGCGAGCATGCGCCGGCCCGCACCCCGGCTGGATCCCCGGGCATGGCGGCTCCTGTGGGGTCATCAAGGCCATTAAGGCATACCGACGCCGTCGTCACACAGGGTGCCCAGCGCCGGGGTCCGGGCTCGGTACCGCGTCCATGCACCCGGCCCGAGCTGGGCCCTCACATCCGAACCCAGCCCTCGGTCGGAGGTCCGATGTCGCGCTCTGGGATCCGGGCAGCCCCCGGGCCGGGTGTCTGCTCCCTCGGCTCCACTCGAGCACCGCCACCAGGCAGAGCATGGCGCGCCCCGGTCACGCCACACACGGCCACCGCGCAATGAGGCGCTTTGTGTGCTCACACAGCGAGGGACCACATCGCGTCGGCGGCCCCGCACCGGGCGCCCCATGCACCACCAAACCAGAGCCGCCTCGGCGCCCAAGTCACCCGCTGTCTGGGCCGCAACCATACCCGCGCCCGGACGGACCCCCACATCGCCCTCCCGGAAGATTGCCCACGAGTCGGCCGCCTCCTGACACCGCGGCCTCCCATGCACGCCCCTGTGCCCCACTATGGACCACGGTGAGACATGCACACACACACACACACAGGCAAATGTCCGATGCCAATCGGCATTCCCTCTCCATGGACACCGCCACCCCACGCACCTATGGGCTAGAGCCGACGCCAGCCCGGGCAGCGGCAGCCGCTCCTGGGCCCGGCCAGTGCTCAGTTGACCATGACCCAAACCGACAGCGCCACGTCCCAGGGGCAAGATCTGCGAGGCGCCTCCCGTGCTTGCTGGCCGGTCACCCTCGGAGCACATCCCTCGCCATGTGGCACGGCCCCCCCCCAATGGTGTCTGCCACGCGCGCCGCCCACGGATCACTGCCAGGTTGGTCGACTCCACAGCCAGCGCCTCGCAGCACCCAAACCATGGGGGATGGCCCCACACCCATGCATCGAAGGAAGTACATACTGCGCGCGGCCGGATGGCGGCACTTGGCCATGCGCCTCCTCCTGAGTGTATTCGCAGGCACACGCCCACATATGTCTCCCTGGGATGAGAGGGTTTCTGTGCACGCGGGACACCGGGCGACGCGCGTCGGCCCTGCTCTCGGCGAACCGCGCCTGCTCCCTGGGCACGGCGCGCACGCTCGCTCGACGAGGGGCCTTAGGCAGGCACGAGAGCAGCGGGCAGCGCCCCAGGCCACCGCCGCCGCACGCTTCCCCTCTGCCAGGGATCAGCGAAAGCGGGGGGCAAATGGCCGGTCGCTGTCCAGGCGAACGGGCCACATGATGCGCCTGTTCATCCGGCGAAGAGGCACACGGAGACGCCTTCTCCCCGGCGCGCGCAGGCATCTCTACCCACGCAGAAAGGGTGCACCACGAAGCCCCGGCTCGCGGTTGGCCCCGGCGCACCGCTGGGCGCACTGGTTCCCGTCCCCCTCCATCCTCCTCTCCCGCGCCAGTGCGATACCCAGCACGCCGGATTCAATTCGATATTTCAGATCCATGACCCGACGCAGGCATCATCCCACGCCCGGCCGGCAGACACACGACCCGTGGGCCACCTCTCCTTCCACAGGCACACCTGTCTGCAGGGTCCCAGTGGCGAAAGCGCATACCCCCCCCCCCCCCCCACGCCCGTTGACAATACTGAGGGCCAGGCCCGGAGGAGGAGCACCAGGGGGGGGGGGAGACGCGGCCACAACCGCTCGATCTCGCATCTGACCACGGCACAAGAAAGCCTCACAGAGGGGCGCAATCTGCCACCCCCTGCTACCAGCCTCATGAGCCAGCGCCACGGCCTAACAAAAAGGAGGGGGGGCCTTCTCTCGAGCGTGCCCCGGTGCGCAGTGATATCCACCGCGTCATGTTTGCCTGTCCGGTCGGCTCGGTAGCCGTGATCCTGAATGCAGCCTCCATACTCGTCATTGGGCCCACCATCATCCCCCCAGGCAGCGAAGGTCCCGCAACACCGCGCGGGGGAACATCGAACGGCCAACCACTCGCAGCAGCTTCTTCCCTTCTCCCGGCAAGCGGCCTGGAGCGGTGTGGCCTGACAAAAAAAACCCCTCACGAAGCCCAGGTGGACCTGGCTGTGTCCACGAATGGGGGGTCGGCCATCTGTCCACCGCCTCCCGGGGCCAGGAAGTCCCGAAACCACAGATCACCCTCAACCCCGCCAGGGACCCAGGGCGGATGGCTGGCTCCTGACCACAGGACGGAATCACCGAGGCGGAATGAAGCACCCGGGGGGATGGTCACCAAGCACGAGGGGGGCCCTCGCAGGCACGTCCTCGTGCGGTAAGGAGGCAGAAGCCCCCGGCCGCCCGGACGGCTGCCCATGCCGCGAGAGAGGGCACGATGGAGCATGTCAGACACGAGCGGCCGCACCCGCACGCACACATCCACATCGAGAAGGAGAGCAGGCGCCGAGCTTTCATCACGATCCGCATGTGTGCATCGGCATGATGCCCACCCCCCAAACATGGGTTCCCGGCGACGGCGGCGACGCAAGCATCGCGTCCGCTCTCGCACCTCGCCTGTGGCGCCGGCCTGCTCCACTCGGCGCGTCTCCCACAAGGACAGGCAGGCATCCCTCATCGCGCAGATGTACCTGTGTTTCCAGGGAGGACCAGGGGGGGATGAAGAACCGAAGGGGCAGTGAGTGGGAGAGAAACAGAGAGCAGGCACAGATGACCTCGTGCTCCCACATAGAAGGGCCTGATACCAGGCATTTACTGGCCACCAAACGGCAGGCAGGCCCCTCTAGCCAGTCCTTGTTCAAGAATCCACTCCAAGACGGAGCACCTTCAGCTCCTGGTTCCACCACTCGGATCTCCCCGACCAGGAAATGAGAGATTCCAAGCGTACATACGTTCGTTGGAAATGAGAGAGAGAAATGGAGGGAGGAACAAGAGAAAGCAAAGCGGCATTGCACGCAAAGGTAACAGGATAACGGGTCAGCAGAGCAAAGAAGCAAGGCGTAGAGACAGTATACCTACCCCGTCCAGGGCCTTCCCAGGGCATGCATGCGGGCGAAAGGGTAATTGACACGAAACACGCACCCAGCCCCACCCCCTCCGCCCCCCACACACAAGCCGAGGCTATCGCGTCACTTCCAACAATCTGTCGAAGGGCCGCTCCAATCACAAACTCCCCACGCATTTCCTCTCATCCTGGTTTGTACTCTTTTGCTGTTGCCCCTTTGCCATCGAAGACCACAGCTCTGCATGAAATCAAACATCAGGGAAATCCATTTTTCGTGGTCCCTTCCTGCGGAGATAGTCATACACATCGAGTCACCTCTATGTGGGCCGTCTGCCCTCATCCTCCCTATTACCTACCCGTTTATTTCCTCCTCCCCGTGAACCCTTATATAAGGGCTCCCTTTTCTCGCCTTGCCTCCAAGGTCTTGGCACCTGCAAATTCAGTCATTTCCTACCCGGAGAATATAGATTCCAATTACCCTGCTGCTGTCCATTATTCCCCCTGGAGCGGTATGACTCGACTCCAGTTGTACTCTCCAATAGGATGAAGATCACTAGCCTCCGCCTTTTTTGGTTGCCCTGTCTTTGCTCGAATGACGACACACCCGGTAAGGAACGCTTCTGGCGCCTCACCGACACTCAATCAATCCCCAAAAAGCACATGATTGACGCAAAGTGCTTCAATAGCCACAATCAAATTCGACCGCGAGTTTACACTGATCCAGCCATGCAGCTGCAGCTATCTGGCCGCGTGGTGTGTACGCATGTGCATGAATATCAAATTGAACGATGACACCATGCGGACCCTTGTAACTGATTGAGCCTAGATTGATTGAATTCCATCTTTCAAAGGCAACCCCATGCTCTCTGCTAGTGCGCTTTTTTGCGTCACAATCAGGCAGCCGGTTTGGCACGAAGCTGACTTGCGTGAATGTAGTCCCTGGTGGGATGTGGGGTAACTAGGGCAAATAGCCACGATGGGGGAGATAACAAGTCAAGCTCCAGTTGGGGTATTAAGAGCAGGGGCGCCGTTCTCTCCTGGAGCCAGCGATAGCGAGCTCCCTCCGTCTTTCACTCCCTCCCTCCCTCCCGCTCTGTCTCTCTCTCTGTCTCTCTCTCTCTCTCTCTCTCCCTCCCTCTCTCTCTCCCTCCCTCCCTCCCTTCCTCCCTCCCTCCCTCACTCTCTCTCTCTCTCTCTCTCGCTTAATCCTTGCGAAGCACTCCTGCCTGTTGGGGTCTTTCTTCACAAACACAAAAAAGTGCCCCGTTGATGAGAAACCTGGTCGCCGCTCCATCCCCCGAATGCAACCAAGTCCCGCGAAGAAGCAGAAGTTTGAGATTTATGTGTATTCAAAAAGCTTGCGCGAGGTCGAAGGAAAAAAGCCCAGGTAAAGAGGCGAAAAAACTCCGTGCGCAGAAAGTACATCAGATAACTACAAAAGGCACCAATTCTTACAAGAAGAAAGTGAGTGGGAGCAAAGCAGCATTAAAGCTCCTTGATGGACCATTTGACAAAGAAGGTCAAAATAGTGATGGTAATGAACTTGCGCATCGCCTGGCAAAACTGCGTGCCAAAATCATCGTGCGGGACGACTGGCTCAGGAACGGCAACTCGAAAATCCGCTAGAATCTTTTCCTTGAACGGATAAAAAGCCAGGCGCAAGCGTTTGGGGAGGTTGTTGAAATGGTCAAGCTCAACCGCATCCCGCATAGGCGCGGTCGCTTGCTTCTCGCTGGCGGCCAAAAGAGCTGAGATGTGAGCAAAAAGATCATGATAGTTCGAGATGAACTCCTTAGAACTGGCAACAGCTTCACAGAGCGTGTGATCAGCCGGCAAGTTTTTCGATAGTTCATCGATGGTCTTTCGGAAATCCAGACTACGCTTCATCAGATCACGATGGAAATCGGGCCAGTCCTCCCAATCGGCCGCAATGAGATCGTCCTTCAACTTACTCTCGCTGTCAGTGAGCTTATTCAGAGACGAAACGTAATGCGATCCATCCATATCGACTCGGAAATGACCCACAGCCTGGTACATGGAAATCATGTGCCAAATGGCTAGAAGATCCTGGCTCAGCACCGGATTGAGCTCCTTGTCAATCTTAGCCTTGTAAAGGTCCTGGATCTCTTGATGGAGCTCCGCGATATTTCCCTGGCGGATTTTCACCAAGATGTCCTTCGGGAGACATGCAATGTCCTTCAACCTTTCGAAGAGACCCCCGATGAGCTCCAGGATATTACCAGGCTTCTCGGGTACAGGACGCTTGCCGATTGTCATCTGGCCGACTTTTTGGCCAAGTCGATCAACCGAAGAAGGGGCAGTGGTATTCGGAGAACGGGGGGCAGGGGCGCCGGCGTGTCCCTGCTGCGGACCACCCTTGGTGACAGGAAGACCTGGGATGGAGGGGCGGCTGATCGACGAGTGATGCATATTTGTCCGCGTAGAGTGTCAGATTCCATGAGTCAATTTTCAGTTTCAGTTGTGGATCGCGTGGTACCCGAGTTTTAGGCAGCAAAGCCGAAATAGAGCGGGGAGATAAGGGTAGAAGCGTGTAAGTCTTGGTGCCCAGGGGAAGAACATTGCAATTGTAGATGATCAACATACATGTTATTCGTCATAGCAGAAGCGGTGGCTTTGGTAAGGTCGCTACTTTATGAAGATACAGAGGTGTAGAGTGGAGGAGGAGATGTACTCGCAGAAAAGATATTCAGGAGGGATGTATGAGGAGGTGAGGAGTTTGGAGTGAGGGGAGAGAGTGGAGAGTGTAGCGAGGGGAAAAGGGAGAGGGGAAAGGGGGGGGCCTGTTTCATCGGTGAAGGCAGAGACAGTGCATCCTTTTATAGGTGTTACCATCCGCCCTTAATGCTCTCCCCTCCTTCCCCCCTACCGCCCAACCGAGATGGTCACAGGCTCACCCGCCAAAACACGACGATATTTTAAGGGCCGAATTGATTCCGGGACAGCATGTAGGAGGTGCATTCGGGCACAGGAGAATCCAACCAGTCAAGGGTAGGGGACGAGATACTCAGCACGATTGCTAACTGTGACTCTGTCTTCTTGGCCATATCAGACGGCCGAGCGCCTGCACCACACAGCAGCATTACTCTTGAGACCCGGACGCGGACGACAGACACCGAATTTCGCGGCAAGACTCCCCACACAAGACACTCATACAAGCATAACACATATTTCTCCCTACTTCTCTTGTCCCAACTTCACGCCCTCTTGCATCTCTGCCGAGCAATTTACCCCCTTAACAGGCTTTACCCCTCGCTGCGTCTCTCAACTCTCCGCCCTGCAAAACTAAAATATCACCAGGACTCACTTTGGCCCTCTCAAGCTCCGGTTCCCGCCCCGCCCCCCCCTGGCTTCTGTTTCCAGACGGCTCGGAAGACGCATTGAAATGGAAGAGGGCGGGAGCTATCTTTGGAGGGAGATCCTGATTCTTCTCAAGTTTGATAGAGGAGGATGCGCTTTGGAAGAGAAGCAGCCGCTCGATAACTTCCTTGCCTCGCATCTTCGGGTCTTTCTCTCAAGCAAGAGATGGACCGTTGGGGCCGTGCAAGGGTGGGTAATGGGGATTGCGTATAGATAGATGGTAGTTATAGTGCTTACCGCGAAGCAAAATCGTGAAACCCGAGCCTCATATCTGCAGTTGCGACGCCCGTTGGGTGATATCGGCGTCTACATAACAACGCTTCTTCTGTAAACTAGCATCTCCAGAGCCGATCGTTGTGACATTTCCATTGATCTTCGATCCTTTTCTTTTAGAACAAGCTGCACGAGCATCCTTCAATGGCAAATCTATTTGACCAGATGGACAGGCCTCCTTCTATACCAGTATGACCTCCTCACTGTCCAAGAATATTGTGGCAGATGGTAAAATGGGAAAGCCGGCCCCAGGAGCACTCATAGGAGCGGTGGGAGAGGAACAGCCCGCCAGGCCGCAGCTAGGTTAGAAGCAAGATGGACTCTTTCCTAGACCTCACTCCTTAACCCCTACTCCTATTGGTCGGGGCTCATAAACATTGGTCGCGCTGATTGCCCGAAGGCGATTGCCCCAAAAGGAAGGCTGTACACCAGTAGGCCAGGACAATTGAGGAAGGAGACTACTCTTGGTTACGCAAAGAGGTTGAAATCCCGGGCCCAGGCTTATGCGGGTGTATGCGCTCGCGATTATGACCATGAAGCGGCTCATCTGTGAGTGTGCGTGTGTGTGTGTGTGTGTGTGTGTGTATGTGTGTGGAGGAAGGCGTCTGGCCTGTTGCGTGGACGAAAGGGCTGGAGAATAGAAGATAAAAGGAGAGGGGGCCAGACAGAGCGATGAAACGTGGAAGAAGGACTCTTTCCTCATGTCAACTCGATGCGTTAACCACTCGAGCAGCGCAGGTCGGACGTACCGTGGACCTAGGCAGTACGACGGAATGCCGCCAAGGAAGAGATCGCCTTGTGCCTTCATTCAGACCTTGGTCAGGGCCGTCTTAGCCATGACTTCAGGGACCCGCACTATCCCATGAGCTTCTTTTTTCGCGAGAAAGTTCGTGCACTCCACACTAGCAAAGTAAGTGCCCCCTTCCAGGGGCATTTCTAGCCAAGGGGCAGTCCTCCCACGTGCTGGCTCCCGCGCGCATTTTACACCCTGCAGATGGGGAGGAATAAAGAGAGCCGACCCTCTTCAGGGGTCTGTGCAGTTGCCTAGGCTCGGGTGGATTGACTCCGAATGAGGTCGAATCGCACTTATTGGGCTACAACACTTTTGCCGGAGTTGCGTACATCTCACCCAACGCAGATTCACCTCTTCGCTGGATACCCCCACTTACAACTGCTCGTTGGTTGGGCAAAGTACGGGGGTCGTCGAACTAGATGACTGTTCTTCGAGCTGCCCCCCTGCGCAGAACCACCTGGGTAAGAGCCCCCCCCCCCCCCCCCCGTGCGTTCAGCTATAAGAGTAGGTTGCCAGGGGAAGATGCCTCCTCTCGCAGACGCCCGTCTCCCATGCCGTGGGGGGAGGGGACCCGAGAGACGTGCTAACAGCATCCCATTCCCATGCGCTCAGTCGCGCAGGCCCAGTAAACACTCAAGTATTCATCCAGGTAAGAAATACGATCAGCACAATTCGCGGAAGGTCGGGCACCAGGAAGGTAAACATGCCCACCCAATGCACCAGTGAGCCACCCCGCGTTGAGCACCCTGGCCAGTTCATCCGAAGATTGGCATTAGCCGCCAAGCTAGGCAGCGAATAGCTCTGTTGGCCGTCATCCAGGGCAAAAATACAGGAGCAGTCTCTCAGTAAACCGACAGCAAAATACCCCTTATTATCTACATGATACATTCTCACACTTGCATCCAATGTTCCACAAAGCCCATGGGGGCCGTTCGCCTGTGACTGCAAGCCTTGGCAGGTAATCGCCTGCCCGATGGCTTCCCCGAGAAGACTCCTTACTACAATGAAATGGTCGCTCCAAATGTCCAAACAACGTCTGTGGTTGCACCCACACGGCGAAGACCCCAGCTAACCGATAAATGGAGTCACTACATGAGTCACAGGCCGCAGAGACAGAACCCGTGAGGCGGTCAATACTTGAATGATGTTTATATCGTCATGAGCCCCAGCGGAGACATCAACCCACTCAGCTGCCAGGATCGAGCGGTCTACACTCTCGACGTTGATAAACGAGTGGAAGGGCCCAGTCGTCTGGTTCGCAAATCTACCCCTTGATCTTGCCCGAAAGTGAAAACTCCTTCGTGGGAGCCTCTGGTGAGTGAAGGCCCTTGTAGCCGCGTGTGGAAGCGTATGCCATTGTTTTGTTGGAGTACCAGTCAAGTTTGTGGATACCTGTTCTCAGGTTCTCCCTGGAACCCCTCTTTATTTTCAAAGTTCTTGCCATGTTTGCCTGCCGCAAACTCCCTTCGAGCCAAGTTACAGACTCCTGTGGAAACGCGCGGCAGCATATTCTCTGGCTCGGGAGGCTGGTTCTTCATGGCCGGAGTACCCTCTTTCCAATGGCAATTATCCGGGATGCACCTTCGTCGAAGCTTTGTCTCTTTGGCACACGACTGGGTCCGGGAGAGCCCTGCCACTACCAGCCACTCGTGTGACACCCGGCTGGCCATCTCCGACCAGCACTTGTCCACTGACATCCGACGGAAGAAATGGCTCCTGTAGTGCTGCCACCGTGGTGTGGTTGTCCCTAACGAAATGTGCCCTCGGCTGGTGTT